AAAAATCCGTCAGTGTTTAAAGTACATAAATGCATCTTTTTAAAACTGAATTACTAGGTATTTTCACAGAACGACTGGCCGACTTAATTAAATTTCTCCCGTACCGCCTCTTCGAGTGCCTCTCTTAATTCGTAAGTTCTTTTGTATACATTATTGTTAACCATACCTCATAAAAAAAATCTAAAATTGATAGGTCAGGTGATCGAGGAGGCCCATGCATAATTGGTCGACCTCTTTCTATCCATGATTTTGCATAATTATAATATAAATAATTTTTAACGTTTCATTCATTATGGGGGGAGGCGTGTCATAATGAAATTTATGCTGGTACCACTCTATTGACGCGCGAGTATCTAAATTTAACTTTTCTAACATGTCTTGAAAACTGTTCTCTAAAAAACGTAAGTATAACGTTCACCGGTCAACGTATCATCGAAAATATATGGCCAAGAAAAGTTGAACTAATAATCTTACACGCTTTTCTTCATTTGAAAAAATCATATTTACAATTTTTGTTTATTTTAATTTACAAAGTTTGGATGTGACAGTTTCACATTTCTGAGAGCAACGACGATTTAACTTGTTTCCATGGCTAACTAAGTGAAATTGTTTAAAAATGATAATAATTGGCTATTAATTTTTCGAAAAAAACATATCATAGCTTATATCACTGAAAAGCTTAAAAATGGCGCTTTTTATGAAGTCATGGCCAACTATGGTTTCCATTTAAAAAAAAATATGTTTGTGTCATATGTCAAGAATGACAGGCTTTAGAAAACACGGAGAATACAATCTAATTAGGGATGTGATTGTCTAAAACTTTTATCTGAAAACTTTTTGTCTAAAATTATAATGGAATTGGGGACAATTTTTAAAATAACCAAAATTTGTTTTTTTTCCAAATATCTAGTAAGCCATGAACTTTTTCAAAAATCTGAAAGGCGCATATTTATGACTCCAGAAAACTGCAATTCTTTCCCCATTTAACCGACTCTCTATCTCCAGTAGTTTCCGAGATACCCATAGTGGAAACCATCGTTGGAAACTAAACCTGTATATATATATCAGTGAATTGTCGTCTGAACATATTATTTTTGCCCTATCATATAAACTTTCTATAACACCTTTTTTACACTTTGTTTCACAGATGTGAAATAACATTAATATTTTAATTAATTATAGCCATATGTGTGTATAAATAGGTTTTGGCCCACATTGCATAATCGGACCCGAAATAAATAAGTTATAAATTAAATAAAGGAAACGAAACGGCATTTTGTCGCCGTTTTTATTCGGGGGTAGTAGATTGAGATCGGGCGAGGGTTAGGCCTGCCTCGCACGTGTGTTTTATCGACGGCAACACGCCAGGTCCGGAGAGTGCGGCAATGGAAAACATGAATGACCGCTCCGGAGTATACGGTGCGCGCGCGCCTCCGGAATACTCCGGGCGTCACGCCAGTACAGGCCAGGATCGGCGTTTATTCTTAGTATAATGAAGTGCATATTAAATAAACTCTTCATTAAGCTTGTACGGCACAGTGTTGCCCACTTTTACATATTTTATTTTAATCAAAATATTTTAGGAAACAAAAATAAATTAATTATAAATATATAAGCAGTTATTATTTACATCAACAAAACTAACCTTCTTAACAGCACGTAAGGGGCATAAAGGGCCATTACTACCGCTTTCCGGTTCAAAACAATCTTATAAAGTTGCGATGAGTTTTTACGGATATTAAGCTTTCTTGTACCCTTCGCACTAAAAGAGGTTCTAAAAAGAACAATGTTCGACTGCAAGGTTTGCTAGTATGAATTTTTAAGCTTAAAGTATCACAACACAATACATTTAAACCAAAAAACTCGTATTACAAGACTAAAGTGTCAAAACGAATGACAATGTCAGGAAATAAATAAATAAATGTGACAACTTGACATTTTTTATAGCCGAGCCACCACCTGAATCCCCAGCGCGAAATTTAAAATCCAGTTAGTCAGCCCTGCGCCAAATATGTCCAGGGTTGGCAACAATGAATTTAAAAATTGCGCTCTCGATTACGTAAAAAAAGTCTAATTCATATCGAATATAATATATTTTATATAAGCATATTATTATTTCAAGTAGTATGTGACACATATTTTAAAAAAACCTCTATATTATATTTATTTCAAATTTAGATTCAAATTGGAATAGCATACAATAATTTGGGGCTTAGAATTGCTCCTAAAGTAACAATTTTTGTTATTCTTAGTTCACCTAAATAAATATTATAGCCTCGTCACACTGATTACTGTCTTCATTTTTTTTTTTTGGTTGGTACCATTGGTATGTAATGTCTATACTTTTGTAACGGGTTAAGTTCGTTAGAAAAGTATGGATTTTCGACAATGGAAGAGCAATGTACAAAAAATAACTTATTGTCAGTAGATTTTTACTAGTAAATCAAATTTGCCTAAAAACTACTAAAAATTTTCAGAAAAAAAAACTATTTTAGATGTCTAAATACAACTATTCAATAATACTTTAGTTTTTAGCAGATACGTCTATTACGAACCGTTGATATTCTGTTAAAATGACAATACATGAAGCCAAACTTCATACCAAAAAGCTTAAACTTTCAGTATATGATATTTTTTTGTTTGTTTATAATTTTTACTTATGTTGTTATACTTATTTATGTTACGTGTTCTTGATAATATCACTAAATTGAGTTAAGTAAAAAACAATCTTCGAATTGTCACGGAGTTTCTAACAGGACATTGTTTCCTCAACGAACACCTCAGTAGGCTGAAGCTGAGAAACAACGGCGAATGCAGATTCTGTAGCGAAAATGGAGAAACACCAGAACACCTTATCACTGAGTGTACCGAGACGACGACCATTCGTGCCATGAACTTTGGTACGGTTGACTTCGAGGATGGAGAGCTGGCCTCTGTGGAGCTGTCTCAGATACTGCCTTTTGTTAAAGCCCTGAGGCTGTATGATGAGTTAATACTCGTTATAACTCAAGAAAGAGGAACACACAATAGATCTGTAAGGTCGCGGTGATTAACTCCCATCCTAAACATTCTACATCACTAAAGTCTGCGTAAAAGTTCTGTACTTATACTATTTCAATTCTTACTCTTTTGGCAAGTTGTTAGATAACTGAGTCATAAAGAATGCTTAAAGTTTTAACACTGTCAGTATCGTCTTGTAGCATAAAAATTATGAAAACTACTAGAAGGAACTAGGGTTTGGTAGAAAGGGCTAACGGAGATATTGAGGAAATGTTGTTGTTGCTAATAGCTGTTTTATTTATTGCCCTGCTAAGTGAGTAACAAAGGTAAATAAAGAAGTAACAATTTTAACATTGACTCTAATTCATGACAATTTCCATAAATATCCGGGTTATGACAATGTTAGAGGATAAAATTGAGTACTTACGTTATCATCGTAAATGCCCTATCTACCATTAATGTTCGTAACAGACATAAGCAAAACACCAACGAAATATATCATAAATAATTTATTTTAAAAATTTAAATGAAAAGTGATCCAAATGCAATAATATCAAAAGATGATATTCAAATCATAAATACTTATAGCAAAAAATCTAATATAATTTATTTTACTGAAGTATACAGGGTGGTTCGAAATGTATTACGAAAACTTCGACAGTATATTCTGCAGATAAATATAAGTAAAAAAGTTCGTATAAATATATGTTCTAAAATGCTTAATTTCGGATATACAGGGTGTAGAAATTTCATTTTTCTTTCAATTTTTTCCAAATAACTTCTGAAGTGACGTAAATATTTAAATAAAAACTGGTGTCTGAGAGTTATTTGACATGAGAAATTTGATTTTAATGCCGATATGACTCCTACTTGTGTAGGTGGCGCCACGTACATATGTTTTAACTGTTTTGAAGAGTAATAATAATTTTTCTGTGTAATAATTGTAATAATTTCCGTTATTTTTTACGTAAAAAATATCTCTTGGTTAAAATCTCCACGAGCAACCGTTCTCAAGATATTTAGAATGGTAATAGTCAATAATACATGTCATTATCGACAAAAAATAATTATGTTGAGTAGATAGAAGAAAGTTTATTTGATTGAAATGGTAAATTTCGGAACTTTTTATTTTTTAAATTAATCACAAATCTTTCACTGAAAAAAGTTTCTGTTAAATTTTTGACACAAAACATTACAAATTTATGATTTGAGTCTAATAGCTATATAGTCAAGATGTTTAATTTATGTCAATGATGACAGGTATTGATAATTTAGATTCCAAATATCTCGAGAACCATTACTCGTAACAATTTTTACAGAGAGAACTTTTTTGCGTAGAAAACGTAGTGAATGTATATTTTTTTAGCCAGTAGTTTTATACAGCACGTTTTTTTACGCACAAAAAGTTATTACTCTTCAAACCAGTTAAAAAATATGTAGATAGCGCCCTCTACAAGTAGGAGTCATATTGACATCAAAATTAAATTTTTCATGTCAAAAAACCACTGGATTTTTATCAAAATGTTGACGTTACAGAAATTATTTCGAAACTGAAACTAAAGCTCTAGTCTAAAACTAAACGTTTGGTGACTGTTACGAAATAGTGTTTTACTTTCCTCAAAATTTCGTGAATTTAATACAAAGTTCACAATATAGTCGGTCCACAAGTGAGAGTTGTGGTCTATCATTTTAATTCACAGTAAACAGTAATCTTTTCTGTAATTTTTTGCCATCTGTCGACATTTTAATATATTTTATACCACATAATAATATATTTCACCCTGAATTCAATCCTGCCACGTACCCCCAGCACGCTTGTCCGGGCTCTTGCGACGTCTGCCGACGCATTCTCGTGCTCGCGATGCCTCCCGAACCCGCCCGAACTTCTCTCGTCGTCGCGTCGACCCGAAAGCTTCCACACTGCGGGCGGGTGCGAAAAGTCATAGCGTTTCGTCGAGCAGGAGTTTCAAAGCCGGAAAAACGCGCACAGGCCGACCAAAACGTCACCATGTCCGGCTACAGGCACCATTGAGCTAGTCCGAGTGCGGTCGTGGTCAAAAGTCCGGTAAAGCCACAGTGCGTTTTGTGCTTTTTTGCGATATGACGGCCGTAGCCGATAGGAACGCGAGCCCATGTGACGGACGTTGGATTTTAATCGTACCACTTTAACGAAAATGGAGAGATGTTGTTTTAATTACTTGATAAAAAAGGTTGGTACATGCCTGATCAAACCATATCAAACCAAAAAGGATTGCAACTAGGATTAGTGTTAAAGCATTGACCTCTTTTCTGACAGTATACTTCTGTCTCTGTCTTTTTCGGTGTGAAAGATTTTTACCGAGAATTGCTCTTTTATAAAGAATTCGTGTTTTAATAAACATGCCAGGCGCGTGTATTGTTAGTGGTAATGAAATAACATTCTATAAATAATTACTTAAGTTATTTTAGACAAATTAAATAGAATATAACTAGCGTTTATTAATCATAATGTTTTATCACTACTAGTACATCTGAAAGAGTTTCATTCATTATTCGTGATGTTATGATTTACACCCATTTTAATTTCGTCTAAAACCTTACCCAAAGGTACTAAATGCAAATACATAACCACATATTTCATTCGTAAACCCCTCAGATAACAAAGAAATTGAACATTTTGTTATAGTGAGATACTTTACTTTGTTATTGATTCTTTAGTTTTATTGACGTTATTTTATATCATCCTAATTAATATTTATTATAGGTTAGGTTTAGTTAATGCTTTTGCTATGTTATTTTATTCTAACTCTTTAATAATTTATTATTTATATAATTGCTACATAGAGCATCTTATGCATAGCTCTGAAACATAACCTAGATACTAAGAGGTGTAGTGTATTAAAGAGAACTTATCTAGTATATAAATAATAATTTTAAAATACAAAGAGACTATGACATTTTTGGTTTAATATAGATATTAACGTTTTCAATCAATTTTTACGCAAAATATTTTTATGTTTTTTACACGGCTTACAGAGTCACTGTCCTTGAACCTGAATTTTACTACTTTGACAAAATTGAGATATGACACTTTAGTCGTTTAATAAAAAAAGGTTTGCATCGTTCTACTATAACCCTAAAAAATATAGCTAAAATTAGTCCTCAAGCATTGACCTATTTTTTGACAAATTATATGCTTCTATTTCTGTCTGATAATTTGTCTCTTAATATCCAAGTATTGTATTTTATGGGAAGTTGCCAGAACATGGCTTGTTAATAATAAGTATCTCACACATTTAGAACATGTTATAAAAAGTATTATGACTTGTTTTCGTTAAAACTTTGCAGTTTCATATTGTGAAAAAGTTTTATTCATAATTTGTGATGTTGTGATCAACATTCTTTCTCTGTTCATTTATCATCAACCACAAATACAAAATGCAGATGTTAAATTGTTTTTTCATTCAGTATCTTCTCAGCTGATAGAGAAATCGAACATTTTGTTCAGTTCTTTTAGTTAATAATTGGTTTTATATTTTTATGGACTCATTTTTTTGAAACAACACAAATGTATTAATTTTTGTGGTGTAAATGACAATATTAAAGAGTCATTTTTGTAACTAAGCAAAAAGCATGCTCCATTTATGCCTGGGTATAAATGTAAAGCATTTTTACGCCTAAGCACAAAAGTACAAAAATGTATCTGTTTTTTTTCGGTATGAGAAATTTTTACCGAGAATTGCTCTTTTATAAAGAATTCGTGTTTTAATAGACATGCCAGGCGCGTGTATTGTTAGTGCTAATAAAATAACATTCTATAAATAATTAGTTAAGTTATTTTATACAAATTATATCTATTTAATAATTAACTAGTGTTTATTAATCATAATATGTTTTGTCACTACTAGTATATCTGAAAGAGTTTCATTCATGATTTGTGAAATTAGGATACACACCCATTTTAATTTCATCTAAAATCTTACCCAAAGATTCTAAATGCAAATACATAAACACATATTTCATTCATAAACCCCTCAGATAACAAAGAAATTGAACATTCTCTTATAGTGAGATATTTTACTTTGTTATTGATTCTTCAGTTTTATTGGCGTTATTTTATATCATCCTAATTAATATTTATTATAGGTTAGTTATAGGTACTAACTCTTTAATAAATTATTATTTATATAATTGAGACATTGAGTATCCTATGCATAGCTCTAAAACATAACCTAGATATTAAGAGGTTGTAGTGTATTAAAGAGAACTTATCTAGTATTTAACTAATCATTTTAAAATACAATGAGACTATTAACAGATATTGTGGGTTTAATATAAATAAGTATTAACGTTTTGCGAAATCTATTTAAAATAATCAATTTTTATCAAAATGTTTTTATTTTTTTTACACAACATAAAACGTAACTGTCCTTGAACCTGCATTTTACTACTTTGACAAAATGGAGATACATATGTCACTTTAGTTATTTAATAAAAAAGGTTTGCATCGTTCTACTATAACCCGTAGTTAGAATTAGTCCTACAGCATTGACCTGTTTTTTTATGAATTATATGATTCTACTTATTTCCGTCTGATAATTAGTCTCTAATATCCAGAAATTGTATTTTATGAGAAGTTGCCGGAACATGGCTTGTTAATAACAAGTAGCTCACACATTTAGGATAAATTATAAAAATTATTAATTGTTTTCGTTAAAACTTTGCAGTATCATATTGTGAAAAATTTTATTCATAATTTGTGATGTTACGATCAACATCTTTTTTTCGTTTATTTATCATCTTAACCACAAAAACAAAATGCAGATATTAAATTGTGGATGTTTTTTCGTTCATTATCTTCTAGCTGATGAAGAAATGGAACATTTTGCTCAGTTCTTCTACTTAGTTATTAATTTTATATTTTTATGGACTCAAGAATATATCACTTTAATTAACTTTTTATTATTTATCACTTTAATTAATGAATATTTAATTCTCTAATAAATATGACAATGTCCTCTAATGAAAATCCGAGTTGCTTAACTCTAATAATTCTAATTCTGAGCTAGCAAAAGAACTAAATGTTATTCCGTTATTCAGAAGCTATAGACTTATCGATAAAAATATGCATGAACATTTACTTCCTAGCAAACAACCAGAGGATATTGGTACACAGGCAGTATCAACTTTTATTATAATACTTTCTTAGCGTTAAATAAATGTTTTTTAGTTTATGCGCGATCCTTAACTTTTTTTCTCACACAGTCTCACCACAAAAAGTTTCACTTTTACTCCTAATAAAACAATATACTATTAGTATATAATTCTAATGAACGTGTTCCTGTTAATGATTACTAAATTATGCTTTAGATGAGTGAGAATTATAAATAAAACATAATTTATCAACTGAAACGTTCTGGTAAAGTTTCAAGCATTTTCAATTTGACAAAATAAAAACACCGTTTAAATTAACAGCATTTAAAACAGCTCAATACAATCCCACTAAAGCCCTAAAAAGTCCTTAAGTAACAAAAATAATTTCAACTAGGACAAGTCCTAAAGCATTGACCTATTTTCTAATAGATTCCATGCTGTTGTCTCTGTCTTTTTTATGCAACGGAGCTTTTTAACAAAAATTAAAGCTTTAATAGTTTTTGAACATGTAATCTATTATTAAAAGATAGGTAGCTAACTGTCTCTATAATTGAGTAAAGTTGATTTGGATAAATAGAAAATAAACATGCCATATAACTAGCTCTCTAATACAGTGTTTTTTTTAGTACAGTGTGTAAAATTGTTTCATTAATAATTTATAATGTTATGATGCACACCCATTTTTGTTCTCTAATATCTTTTACAACGATCTCTCTCTTTTACTCTCTCTTTTACACGTATCTATACAAAATTACGTTTATTATTCATTAACCTTTCGGTCAACTAAGAAATAAAACATTTTGTTATAATTTGCTACTTTTCAAGGTTATGGACTTTAATTTATATAATTTTCAACAAAATAAAAAATTTAATAATAAAATATATTTTTAGAAAAAAACATAATTGACATCTCTATTTATGTATTTTATTCTTTTTATTATTATTTTTAAAGAGATACATTAATATGTATGTTAATACACCAGTACGTTTCAGTTGCTAAATTATGTTTTAGAGTCACTAATGGAACATTTATAATTCACAATCATCTAAAGGACAATTTAGTAAACATTTACAAAAAGATGTCCATTAGTAACAAAAGAATAATTAAACCAAAGTTATAATAAAAGAAGCGAGAATCTCTAAAAAAAAATAAAAGGGGCTTTTTTAATTCAATCTAATAAAAATAAATGTATTGCTCATGCATCTGTAGATGTTAGTAATGTATGGCAATCGCTTCTTTGATTTTAAAGAACATAACATACATAAAATTTAATAATAATACAGAGAGTTTGGGGCTTTTTGGTTTTTACCTTATTAAGGAATTGTTAACAGGTAGTAATTGTTAATTTTGAAGTTTAATTTGATATGTCATTTTAACAGAACGTCGACGGTTTCTTGTAGACGTATCTATTTTAAAAAAGTAAAGTGTTCTCGAATAGTTGAACTTAATTATTTTAAATAGTTTTTTTTATTCTTTGTATTTTTTTTGCTTCTGACGACGGAAAGAGATAAACGTTCCGAAACGTTAAGCATTTTTTTCTTTGTTAGGCAAATTTGTATAACTGTAAACATAACTTCTGACAAGCAGTATTTTCTTGCAGTGCGGTGGCGAAATACCCATAAAGGATTTTTTTGGAGAGATGTCCATTAGAATTAAACTAATAGTATATTGTTTTCTTACGAGCAAAAATGAAACTTTTTGTGGTGAGGCCCTACGTTTATTTATAATACGTGATGTTGATAATAACATGACGTTATTATGAATAAAAATTTGTCACAATATGATACTGAAAATTTTAATGAAAAGATGTCATATTTTTTATAATTTGTCATAAATGTGTCAGCTAATTATTATTAACAAGCTATGTTCCTGCAACGTTTCATGGAATAAAATTTTCTGTTTCCTAATAGTCTAAGAGCTAGCAACGTTTTCGAGAAAGTATTTTAAGACGTCTGGCCCGTCTGGCTGCCGATACCCGTTGCGTTCACTACTGCGCATCGGAAGAAGATCCTATATTTTTTATTAATTTAGTCTTATAAATTCTAGTATTGAATATAAATCGAACATGTCTCTATA